AAGATACCAGAAACCACGAATGAAAGACGGAAGATGCATCGCGTTTCTAGAATTACATTAATAAAATTTGATGTGCTCAGGTTAAATAGTGGACGCCGCGGTGGTTCAGTGGATGTGGTGCGTGTAGGCTCGATAACCATGAGGTCCGGGGGCCGAGTCCGGTGTTTGCCGAGGGAGTTCATTAGGATTTTAAAGTGTGGCTTACCCTTGTCAGTGGTACAGAACCGAAGGTGTCTAGTCGTTCGAATGGTACGAAAAAGCGATTTCGCATGTACACGTTGGCGTGTAGTAAAAGAACAGTTGGAATTCAAAAGAATAGTAGAACGTAGTGCTGGTGTCCGGGCAAAGGTTCCCCCACCCCATATTGTGTACTGTATGCCCGTCTTCAATATCCCAGTTTATGCAGAAATGAGGGAAATTTTGCCCGGGCAGCGGCACTATGGCCTACTTTTATATCTAATCTTTTACGTACACGCCAATGAATACAAGGGTCCTCAGTTTTTCCGAGGTCAAAATTCCGATGAACTTTCTCGGCCAATGGAGGGATCGAACACGCGACCTCTCGGCTAGCGTGCCAGCGTCTTACCCACTTAGTCATCGTGGCTCCGAATAATGCTTGAAGTTTGGGTTTTCTCAAAAAGTTTCTGTATTGTGGATGAAAAATGTGGTAGTCGTCCCAATCATGCCAACTTCAACTTCTTTAAAAATTGAGCTGGTTCTCACGTAAAAATTATAAACGCAGATGCTATCCTTTTAAAGTCAAGCAACCAATTCTGACAAAAATTCAAGAATAATTTACAACAGTAGTAAATAACAGTAGTTCGAGTTATTCTCTTAGCTCGAAGCTTCTGGCCCTTTCCCAGGCCTCTGATAACTATATATAATTTCCAAACCTTCTAAACAATAACCACACTTTTCCAGGAATCTGTACTGAGTCCAATCTTATGTCGTATGTACATAAATGCTATCCAAGTTTCTCATAGCTATAATATTTTCAGATGACACTGCCGTGGATTGCTGTAAACCTCACATTTTTAAAATAAACATTTCTTTAAACTAGAACCATGGTCAAAATCAGTTTTCAATAATATTTGTCAAATTCAGTTTTACCCAATATTACTTTTTTGTGTTTATCAAGTACGTTTTATTTACGCCAATATTTACAAGCACATGTTACGTACATTTATATTATGAATATAAAATAGACTGTCTGTTCTGCATAAACGGGTTAATCAAAAGGGAATATTACTTTGTTGATATCAACCATGTTTAAACCCCAAATTAAAGTAGTGTACTAAATATGCACAAGCAGTATGCGTGTCGGGGCAATTATTATGAAATTGGTAAATTTCATGTTTATGAGAGGGCTACTCCCGCCTCCACCTAACCAAATATCCTGCGTCAGGCACTGGTTCAGTATATAAGTTGATGTGTTCGACGAATCAGATTGCATACCCCAAAACAGGATTACTGCGGTTTATTAACAAATCACCCTCCGCTCCCCTTCCCCATCGTTAAATACTTTCGTCACTATACACTTTGATACACAAGCCGACACTTTTAGATACATAAAACTGAGACTTGTATATACGGAAACGCTAGGACCACTGCTTCAAAAAATTTACGTAAATCTTTGTGATTAAAACTAAATACGGGAATAATTTTAATTAAACGGGGTTGTTTTATGAATAGATTTACTAGAAATACTTACTTTCTGTAGTCGCCATTAAATACACGACGAACAACATTTCGAGAGAGAGAGAGAGAGAGAGAGAGAGAGAGAGAGAGAGAAATGGGGTTTAACGTCCACTCGACACAAACTAGGTCATTTCGGGACTAACATATGGTTTAATTTTATGTCAATAATTCACTTGCGCGTAGGGGTCTTTAGCAGTGGGAGGATCACACTTCGTAAAAACCATGCTTCAGATGGCAATACTGTAGCCAATCCGACCATCACAACTATTGTTAATCCAATTTTAACAATTTTTGTATCATAAAAGTTTAAAATTGCTTTAATGTCAAAAGAAAAATTGCCAATCCCTAAGTGAATTGCAGAACAAGCCCGAGGCGCGGATTTTTTTGATTATCCTGAATAATGCGAATGCAAGCTCATTAGGACCATCTTTAGAATATGGCTGACTCTAGTGACGAAAAGTGGACTTTGACATAACCAAAAGTATATATTGATATCAAGCTAATACATTATTATGCCCAACATTCTAAAATCTTGCCTGTTTGCTTCTGGAAGAAGGAATTGCAATGGGCTTTAATTGGATAAATCAAGGACTAGTTATACAAAGTGAAGATTTTAATTACAATTGGATAATGGAGAAAATTAGGCTGATAGGAGATATGAAACTTATTTATTTTCCCATGGGTTAATTGTCACCTTTAAAGAATATTATGCTTTGCGTCAAATCTAATTTTAATATTGTCCAATTTATAACGAGAAATAACAATAAATTTAATCAAATGTATTCAGGGCTAGTTATATACACACAGTGGCGATTTTAATTACATTAAGGTCGCGCAGTAATTTGGCCGAAAAGGGATTATGAAACTTATTTCTGTTCACATTGGGTTAATTTATCACCTTTATAAGTATTCTGCTTCGAGTGAAATCTAATTGTTGATATTCACAATTTTATAACGAAAAAGAATAATCTCTACTGCTAGTAGCTAAGTAACAAAACATAAGTGACAGTTTTAATTCGAATTTGAATTAATAAATTTATATATATTTATAAAACAATTTGATTTGCCTCGAAGCAAAGTCAAAATTTCACGCTATGTGAAAATAAATCTGTTACACTTTCGGTCAAACTGTCTTCATTATCTAATTTAATCAAAATTTTAATATATTATATATATTGTAATGCTTAGTTTCAAATGAAATGAAATGGGGTTATATGTTTTACTTTTCTGATCCCTGCATTGGCCGAGAAAGTTCATTCAGATTTTCCGGCGTGGTTTCCCCTTGTCAGTGATACAGGATGGAGGGCCTGACAAGGGCAGCTGTCTAGTCGTTCGGATGGGACGAAAAACCGAGGTCCCGTGTACACATTGGCGTGCACGTAAAAGATCCATTGGCAGTTGGAATTCGATATAAGAGTAGGCCGTAGCGCCGCTGCCCGGGCAAAATTTCCCTCATAGCACACTGTATGGCGTATGCCCGTCTTCATTAGCCCAGGTTTGGAGCAGAACAGTAGGACGTTAAACCCCATTTAATTTCATTTACTTTTCTACACCACCTGGACTAATGAAGATAGGCATACCCCATACAATTTTCGCCCGGACAGCGGGGCTAATCTCTACTCTGATATTGAACATAAACTGCCCAGAGGGGACCTGTACATTTATCCGAACGACTAAAACCCCTTCCTTGTTAGGCCTTCCGTCTTTGACAAAGAGAACCACGCTATAACGACTACACGTTATTCCTTGGCAGTTGGAATTCGACAAAAAGTAGGTGGAAAGGCCAATACCCGGGAAACATTGCCTCCATTGCACACCGATGTATGCCCGTTTTCATTATCCCAGCTGGTACAGAAATACAAATATACGAAGTTAAACCCTATTTCATTCTCTGTTTAACTTGAAAATGGTTATCTATTGATGTTATCATATATTGCTTTATTGACAGCACATTTTGTGCATATTTACTCACGCACACACATACCCCACCCCACTACAATGAAAAAAGTGTCGGTTACTGGGCTATGGTCATTTGAATATTGACGGCCATGATCATGTTGGACCTATCTAAGGACCCTTCAGTCCGATCAAGCTTAAAGGAGCCAAATCTCTATAATTGGAACCTAAAATCCACGAAAATGGGTCAAAGGGCGCATATTATGGCAATGTGCCAGTATGCACGCAAACAGTAGTAGTGCGTGTTGGTTTATCAAGCATGATGTATTCTGCTACAGTTTGATTTGAGGAACCCGAGAAAACACCACCAGGTTAGACAAAAGGTCTTTGTCACGTATGGCCGAAGCTACTGCCTACGTCGAAGACCTCCATGGATGCATGAATACCTTATTTGGCTGCCCATCTCGCTTAAATTACGTTAGCCCCCCCCCCCCAAAAAAAAAAAACCCCAAAACAATTCCTGTGGTTACGTTTATTTGGTTCCCACAATAGCGTGGGTAGAAAGGTTCAGTGTTTAACTTCTTTGTTGCCAAGAACACTTTAAAATCGATTCATAGGACCTGTGAAAATGGGTAAAACAGGCTTAGTTTCGGCAATTTTAGCGCCCCCTATGTGTACATACATGTACACAAGACACAATTCTATGAAACACTATTACTGTTTTATTTACGAGCATAAATATAATTGTGTGTTGTTAATAAAGACTAGAGAATCCTGGTTGAATCGTAGCTCAGTAATTGTACTCAATAGAATTGTGCTCTGTGTATATTCACTTATATAAAAGCTACTGAAACTAAGAACAGGCATCGTGATGGCTAAGTAAATAAGACACTGGCTCGCTAACCAGGTGGTCTCGGGGATTTTCCGACGTGGTTCCCCCTGTAAATGTTGGAGGACCGGAGGCCTTGCAAGGACAGTGTATAGTCGTTCGGATGGAACAATAAAAACGTCATCCCGTGGACACAATGGCGTGTACATAAAAGAACCCTTGCTATTCGATATAAGAGTAGTTTGTAGCACTGTTCTCCGGACAAAATTTGTCTCGCAGCACGTTAGCTTGCTTAGAAAAGTAGGACGTTAAACTCCATTTCAGTTGAAACTAAGAACTACAGTTAGCCCCGATCCCGTTCCACATCTTTTCGCTTCTTTTCACTCTTTACCACCATCTGTTCATTCGTAACTGATTTTTTGTGAAATGTGAAATTTCACACATACACGTTTATTGCATGTATTTATATTTTTCATGTGGCAACAAATATATGATGCGTAGAATTGCTCTGCATCACCTCGCTTTGCCCATACACAAACCCATACTCGCACAAGGTGCGTTATAAATAACAATACAATTCAAATGCTACTATATTTATTTAATCAATTGGATATAGTGTCACTTTGTCCCGTTCCATTTATTGGATACAGGGTGGTTTTATTCCGTTCAAGCTATTTGCACAGTTCAGGTGTTTTGGTATATCCCTCACGTCCCCTACATGTGCTTCCTTTGTATTTTCCTATAAGATGTTTCCCCTTCAAATGCTGAGGACAGTGGTCCTTTGCCCAGAGCTCAAGTTTGTCCTCGCAAGTTGATTTGCAATTTGTTATCTCGGCTCTGTAGCAAGCACAAATTGGCCAACCATGACATTTATCGACTGTACCAAAATTATGAAGAATTTTGTCGTGGTTGTCGTTATCAACAACTTTACAATAACAACTGAAAAGAAATCAGAAACGACGAATTAAAGAAAGGAAATGGGGTTTAAAGTAAAATTCAAGTATTAGAGAAAAAACACTAAAAATTAAAATTTCATCGTTATCAAACGAATCGCCAGGCCATTTTAATGCGTTATTATGCTGTTACAATAACGTTACGTCATAACAGAGAACAATGACTATGTGGAATATAAAAATTAAAACGAAATAACATTATTTAAATATCAAACATAATTAAAATAATCAGCCCTTAGCATTCAAAATTGGGTGATATTTAGCGATAAAGTTGCTTTCTTTTGTTTCCAATGTGCTCTATTTACGATATCGACTTTCGACGAAATATGAAGTAGATAAAATGAAATATGTTAGTGAGATTCACCACTCATACTTACTGTCTGTCACCTCCATTAAAGAGATTTCGAAAAAACCAAGCTTCGGATGGTAATATTGTAGCTAATCCGACCATTACAACGATTGTTAATCCAATTTTAACCATTTTTGTATCCTATAGCCAAAAATTTTAGAAAATTTCTTTAATGTTAAAAGAGCAAATTGCCGAATTTAACACCGGCTTCCAATGACGGTGACATTATAGACAAATGGTGATATTTTAGTATATTCATGTTGAAGGAAACCGGGGTAAACGCAGTAAACCCCAGGTTCAGAAGCCACACTAGGGATCGAAGCCACGATATGATATGATAATGACTGACGGTAATGGCGGAACACAGCGTCCATTTAGATCGTTCTAGTTCAAGGTGGTATAACGCGAAACCATCTTTAAGAACATCACGGTAAAGGATAGGTTTCCAGGCAAAGAAACATTTCAATGAGGGCGTATAAAAATGTGACGAGTTGTTTCTTCGTACTAGCTTAACGACAACATTCGTGTTTTGATAGTCTCGGGTCCAGATCTTCACGTTATTTGTCGTCCTGGCTTTACGGCGACTTCGGCTTTAGGCTGCATCTATGTTTGAACATTCTACCTCAATTAGGAGGAGAGTTATTGTGTTTCAAAGTCTCAACCAATCAAATTGCTTATCGCTCTGCTTACTCTCAGCAGAAAATGGTCATGATCAAACTTCGTCAAGGTATTGATGTTATGAAACTATACACCAAATTTGATCACTCTCACCTAATTAAAACTAAAGTTATGGTGTCCCAAAGCATCAACCAATCAAATTACTTCTCTCTGCGTAACCTAAGCAGAAAAAGCGCATCTTCAAACTCCATCAAGGCATTGACCTAATAAACACCTACACCAAGTTTGAAAATTCTAGCTCACTTAGACCCAGAGTTACTGGGTCCCAAAAGGTGAGACGGACTGGCAGACAGACGGACAGACCCATTTAATAGTCCCCTGCTTTCTTCGAAAAGCGGGGGACAAAAATGCTAAAATATAACGCATAGTCCGATATTTTTAAGAGAGTAAACTAATAGGAATAATAATCTCTTGGAGCCATTTAGTAACTGGATAGAGCAATAAACTATAACACATACTTATGAACGAGAGCATCGCTAACGCTGCAATATATACTCTTCCAAAAAAGTAGGGGATATTCAGAAACAATACAAAACTGCGGAAATGCACTGCTGTTTTTATTAGAGGTAACCAGTGTATGTTAATAACAGGTCAATTGCCTACACATGAACATAAACAGTTCATATGGGCGGCTTATCTGACGGCCCCATTTAACTCACAAAGAGATACACTGTCAAAAGTGAAAATGGATGTTTTTGTTTTTTGTCTTAATAATGAGTAATTGCTCCACCAATCCTCGGACATTCAGCAATTCGCCGTGGCATGCTCCTAATCAACCGTCCAATCACGATTTGGGAACAATCTGACCCACCCCTCTTGCGGTGCCACGGCCAATTCTTGCAGTGTTGACGTTGACGTCGACGAAAACGTCTCCCGATCATATTAAACGTAACATACTAAAGCAAAGATACGTTAAACAGTAAATCTTATACAAGAACCGATAGATAAGCAATCATGGATAGGATAAACCAGCAAGCGGCAGTTGTCATCAACCCTTCCTTGAAGTGTCAAATTTGACAATACCCCCCCCCCCCACACGTGTATGGAGCTATTGAGTGTCGCATGTGCAGCTCATTGATTCTGTTGGAACGATAAGTTCTTCATCTGTGAACATACCCTCAAGGCATGTCAAGTGGCCATGACTATTTATCATATCACAACCTGCATAGGTATTTGCATTTTAATATCCCTTACTTTTTTTTGAAGAGTATACGTCCACATTCCAGCATTGATTGGTGTGGTACTTTTTAAAATGAAGAGAATGAAATATGAAATGGCTGTAATATAAGAGGCAAAGAAGGCTAGGCGTTGGGTTTGTTTTGCCAAGTTTACTGACAAAATACTAACAAAAAGGTGGGTGTGACACTGCCCCAGGAGGTCGGGGCAAGCACCAAAATTAAATAGTCGCTGTCTTTACGGTATAAGGAATAAATATGCAAAGTTCCAAGATGATCCATTCAGAATTGCAGCCTGTAGACGATAAATACAAAAAATGGACGTGGCTCTGCCCCTTGGGGTTGGATATGGAACAATATAAATAGGTACCACCCTGTTACTGAAATGACATCAATAGTTGACGTCCTTAGTGTATAAGGAATAAGTATTCCAAGTTCCAAGATAATCCATTCAGAATTGTGGCCTTCGGGCGCTAAAGGCAAAACTTGGGCGTGGCTCTGTCCCTGGGGGTCGGGGAATTCACCAAAATCAATAGTTGGCGCCCTTAGGCTATAAGGAATACATAAGTCAAGTACAAAGTTGATCCATTCAGAACTCCGGCCCGTAAGCGATAAACACAAAAAATTGGGCGTGGCTCTGCCCCTGGGGGTCGGGACGTGCAGTTGTCGTCCTTAGGCTATAAGGAATACATATCCTAAGTTCAAAGACAATCCATTAGGAATTGTGGCCTGTACGCAACTCACAGAGACACAAAGAACAAATGGGTGTGGCTCTGCCCCTGGGGGTTGGGCAATCACCAAAAAACAATAAGGGACATCCTTAAGGTATAAGGAATAGGTATGCAAAGTTTCAAAATGATCTGTTAAGAATTGCGGCCTGTAGATGACAAACAATTAAATACAAGAAATGGGCGTAGCTTTGTCCCAGGGGGTCGGGCATGCACTAAAAACAATCATCCTTAGGGATCAGCCTGTAGGCAACACACAAAAAGAAAATGGGCGTGGCTCTGGCCCTGGGGGTTGGGCATGCACCCCAAACGATAGAAATGTTCCTTAGGGTACAAAGAATAAGAATGCAAAGTTTCAAGATGACACGTTAAGAAATGCGGCCTGTAGACGAAAAACAAATACAAGAAATGAGCGTGGCTCTGCCCCTGGGGATCGGGCATGCACCAAAAACAATAGGGATCATCCATAGGGTATAAGGAATAAGTGTGTAAAGTTTCAAGATGATGACTTAAGAATTGTGGCCTGTAGGCAACACACAGACACACAAAAAGAAAATGGGCATGGCCCTGCCCTTGGAATTGGACATGCACCCCAAACTATAGGGATGTTCCTTAGGGTACAAAGAATAAGTATGCAAAGTTTCATTATGATACGTTAAGAAATGCGGCCTGTAGATGACAAACAAAGAAATACTAATAATAGGCGTGGCTCTGCCCCTGGGGGCCGGGCATGCACCAAAACATTAGGGATCATCCTTAGGGTATAAGAATAAGTATGTAAAGTTTCAAGATGATCACTTAAGAATTGTGGCCTGTAGGCGACACACATACACAGACAGGGGCGACGGCAATATACGTCCACATTATGAACGTGGACGTATAGAAAGCAGTATATGTTGAGAGAATACTCTTCGAAATGTCGCCCAAATAAATAAGTAGCTGTTTTCCCATAAGTATGTGTTATAGTTTATAGTATATTACGTTTTCATTTAAATTCTTACAATTATTTTTAAATCTTGAAATCAGTAAATTATTACAAACATTTTAAAAAATCTTACCGTCTTTTGTCTTCAAAGAGAAAAACTAAAGAACAGATGTTAGATCTGTAAAATCAAGAACTAATTATACCAACAAAGTGATAAGATTAATTACATGTTGATAATAAAAAATATTTTGCCCGAGTGTGTATATAAAATTAATTTCTATTCACATTACGCTCAATTATCACTTTGTATAAAACGTTCAGCTTCCAGTCAAAATACATTTAATGAAATCGTGACGGAAAGTTGACAAATATAATCAAATCTTTCAATTATTAAGATAATGTGCTCGTAGCCAAATGGCACATATACCCCATGTAGGTACACAGCTGCCAACTGACGTAATAAGGGTGTTTCAGCGCTGCCTGTTGACACAATGGGGAGAAACATTAAATCCAGCCTGTTGACGCATTGGGGAGAAAACATTAAATCCAGCCTATAGAAACAACACTTTGAACTTTTGTTGGGGCATCATACCGTAATATAACAGTTGCAATATATACCCATGTAAGGACACATCCGGTTTATCGTTGCTAAAAACACCTTTCCATACGAAACTTACACTGTCTGTCTACATTTAGCTCCGCTTGAGAAAAGACACGAAGCTAGCGAACCGACATTTTAATTCCTAAATCGACGATTTTAGTCGAAAACACTAAATATACTTCGAGAATTTTGAGAAATATTTATTTTGCTTCCATTTAATAGAATTGAAAATATTTATTTTGTGTCTGCATGGTGTATTACAGATTTAAAAAGAATTAGAAACGCATTCAAAAATAGGTTCCTCATTTTTGAAAATGACGGCCATTTAGGATAGATATCTATTCTCAAAGAAGATAGTTCTATATGTGGAGAATGACATTTTACCTTTCAAATTTCTAAACACGTTACTGGACAGAGTCTTCCCACAACATGTCTAATTTGCGTCTGAACGGGGAATAATTCAAAGAGTTTAATGATGTTTTCAATACTGAAGGTCAGAATATATGTGACGATTTGTCTGACCCAGACCACAGTAACCCGTTCGAGGTGTTTTACTCCTATCCCTTTAATCTTGGGTGTTTATTTAATCATCGTGTCTAGAACTTGTCGGAAACGGATAGTTTCATCATCTATTTGGGGTCTCTCCTTTCTTCTTACAGATAAATTTGTTTGTGAGTCCAAATGATACTGTATACACGCCCCGTAATCTAAATATAAAGTATGTGACGACACCCTTTGATGTTGGCATCCCATTATTTAAAAAAATGGTACTGGTAACGTGTTTTAAAATCGTACATTATTTATACTAGTAGAAATATTATGACTCCAGTTACGATTTCATAGAAATGTACGTGCGGGGTGGTTTCTGTATTTTAAGCAAGACATTGCGTAATATATTGAAACAACACTCGGACTAACGCCCCCGTGCAGTGTCAATACATTGATTAGGGGATACTCGATTAAACGTTTCGGAATTGAATTCTCCCAATCCTAAAAATAGTGATCTCCCAATCCTAAAAATAGTGACAATCGAGTGAAAAGGGGAATTGCAGCTACAACGCATGTGTGATCTGCATAAGAGGCGTACGAGCCGGGAGAGCTTTGAAGGGGCAAAGTGAAAACAAGTTGGTAAAATAAAATGCCCGAAATTTAATACAACACTAATTTTACTTTTATTTTAATTGAATACCACGAATTTGTACTAAATTGATTATGGATTAAAACATTTTTCGGGTATCGATTCTTATTTGTGAATGCAGCTGCAACAACCCCATTAAGTGGTTTAATTCAGGTTTGCATAGAGTGGGGTTTCGGTTGAAAAACGATTTGAAACTTTAAAGGTGCTTAAATGACAGATCACAGAATCAGCCGAGGTTTGCCCAATAATGCTCTAGAAAAATAGAAATATTTTTCAAAAAACAAAATTATAAATTATTTTACAAAATGGAAATCGAAATATAAAATTATAAGTACAAAATTACAAATAAAAATTGATTTACAAAATTAACAATTAATTTACAAAATTAACAATTAATTTACAAAATTAACAATTAATTTACAAAATTAACAATTAATTTACAAAATTAAAAAATGATTTACAAAAAAAAAAAAATAATTTACAAAATTAACCAGAGATTGCCAGGCAAGATACACCCACATTTTGCAAGAGATGGATAGAGAACAAGCCAAAAACAAAAACGATTTTTCGTACAATCAGGGGCCATAATCCAGAAAGTTATGGTCTGAAATGCGCGAATATCGCAAGAGACTGCAATCTTTCGGATATAAAGATAGATATAAAGATATATTTTTAAGTTTCATCAAAATAGAATTAAAATTGTGACCTCTAGAGAGCCCACAACCTTCGTGTTACATACTTTTACACAATTTGCGTACAAATTGTGACATCTACAGAATCCACAAGCTAAAACAATCCCCACTATTTTTCGTACAACCAGGGGTCATAGCTAGGAACTTACTGTCTGACATGGACAAATAGCGAAAGGAACCGAGATCTTTGAGACATAAACATATATTTTAAGTTTCATCAAAATCAGATCAAAATTGTGGCTTCTGTCCGATTTTTACGAAATTCAACCTCAACCGTCATTAGGACGTAACGGTGATACATTTAAACGATTTTTTAATCGGATAAAAGTTGTGACCTCTAGTTGGTCCACAATCTAAAACATGAATTTTCGTACAATCAGGTGCCATAATCCAGGAAGTTACTGTCCGATGTGCGCAAATATCGAAAGGATCCAAGATCTTTGGATTATAATCATACATTTCAAGTTTCATCCTAATTTGACTTATAGAGTGTCCACAAACTCCGTATTACATATTTTTACACCATTTGCGTACAAGGAGCGTCCATTTTGTCTGGCATATTTGAACTCAGCCTTCATTGATGTATAACGGTGATATATTTAGACGGTTTCTAAAATTGAATACAAATTGTGATTACTAGCGGGTCCATAGGTAAAAAATGCGATTTTTCTAACAATCAGGGGCCATAATCCAAGAAGTTACGTTCGAATATTCGCGATTATGTACAGGAACCAACATCTTTGGGATATAAATTTAAAGTTTCATCAAAATGGGATAAAAATTGTGGCCTCTATAAGGGTCCACAAGGTAAAAAAAGCGTGATTTTTCGTACAATCAAGGGCCATAATTCAGGAACCACGATCGTTATGATATAAACATGTATTTCAAGTTTCATCGAAATCGGATCAAAATTGTGACCTCTAAGAGGGTCAACAACCTTGATATACCATATTTTTTTTAATACTATTTTCGTACAAGGGGCGGCCATTAAAATTTTGTCCGTCAGTTTTGGTCCGATTTTCAAGAATATCGAACTCGCCTGACATTACGGTGCAACGGTGGTATATTTGAACGCTTTTTTTAATAATCGGATAATAATTCTGACCTATAGAGGGATCACAAGAATAAACGCGATTTTTCGTACAATCAGGGGCCTTAATTTAGGAAGTTACGGTCCGATATGTGCGAATATCGACAGGAACCGAGATCTTTGTGATATAAACATGTATTTCAAGTTTCATCAAAATCGCATCAAAATTGTCACCTCAAAATTGTTCTTAGATATTGATCCACTTGACATCCTGAGCACCACACCTCCAGAGACGAGTTTGCCTGCCCATTCAAAAATGACGTAAATTCAATACTAAAAAATGCCTCCAAATTACGTGAGTATATCAACTTTTTCAGGGACTCCCGAGCCTACCATATTCGAATTTCATCCTATCCCTCTTTTAAGCATAAAAAATGTTTTTTATTACGAAGGCAATTCGAACTGATCATTCTAAATCTTACTCCCTTGTTTCTAAGATGGAAATTCACTGGTTCTTACATCAAGAACGAATTATACAGAGTGACAATTTAATTACATTTTTATAATGAAGAATATATACTGAACGCCATGGAAAACGCATCACTTAGTTTTTCGTATAAAAAAATGATCCTGTAAACATATCTTATTTATTTTGCTTCTTATTGTGAACAATATGCAAATGGGAACACATCAATAACAGCACATTTGTGAGAGAGAGAGAGAGAGAGAAATGGGGTTTAACGTCCACTCGACACAAACTAGGTCATTTCGGGACTAACATATGGTTTTAATTTTATTTCAATAATTCGCTTGCGCGTAGGGGTCTTTAGCAGTGGGAGGAAACCGGAGGACCCGGAGAAAACCCACGAGGTTGGACAGGCGACCCTACTCCTTGTCACGTACAACCGGGGATTCGAAACAGCACATTTGTACACTTATGGATGTTTAATCTGTAATCAAGGGTACAAAGTCAGCGGGGTCAAACCTAAAGTACGACACAGATGTCAGTAGCGCGTGTGTCCTCAACGGGCCATCATCACGGTAGGCTACAGCATTAACGCGACCCCTGCAAATGTGTAGGGCGGTCCGGTGATGAAATGTGAAGCCTCCCCACACCATTACACTCCCCCCACCCCATCGATTCGTTTCGAAGACGCAGCAATCTGCAAGACGTTCCCCAAGACGTCTCCACACACGTTGACGGCCATCAGCGTGATAAAGATTAAAGCGACTCTCATCACTGAAGAGCACGCTTTGTCAGTCTACTCTTCTCCATGTCTGGTGTCCTTGAGCCCATATCAAACGCCGCTGACGGCGATGATCCCTGAGGATAGCTCCAACATAAGGTCGTCGTGCACGGAGTCCTACTTCTCTTAGACGACGTCTTACGGTGTTGGCACTTACTGGTCCTTGTCTTCCGACGACTGCTGCACCTGGCGAGTCGCTGGGCGGAATCTGTCACGCAGATGAGTGACCCGGATGTAGCGATCTTGAGCCTGGGTTGTAACGTGTTGTGGACCAGGACGTTGACGGTCACGTGTTGATCCAGTAACTCGAACACGTTCCACCAACCTTACGATAGTGGACTGATGACAATTGAAGTGTCTGGCAATAGCACGTGTAGACATGCCAGCCCTGGACATTCCCACGGCTTCATTCCGTTGATTTTCAGTAAGTCTCAGCATCTCTAGCTCGATTCCTTCACACGACCAACAACAAATTACGACAGATTGACGTTTCACAGTTCATGTACTGCACATTAAGTTGAAAACATGCTTTTAAAGGGCTCACACACAATGCTGCACGTGAATATTGGGTTTTTCATGTGCATCTCGTGCAATTTTTTTGTGTGCACACAGGCCGATATTTTTTGCGTTTGGGAGCATTGTGTGAAACAATAGTTCATAGTATTGCATAATATTATACATACAAAACCACCTAGTAATAAAATATTTGGAAAAAAAAAGTGATGCGTTTTCCATGGCGCTCAGTATATTTTGCCGAATGAGTATACATAATTATTTTCTATTCATATAAAGTTGCATTATCACCTTCTATTGAAAATTCTGCTTTGAGTCAAATAAAACTGTTACTAAAAGAAATAACTCTAAATTTAATCAAATGTTTAACTATTTAGCTGGTAGCTAAGTAACATATTGATGTGTATAATTAAAATTACACGTGGCAGTAATGAATAATAAGAATATACCACGACCACGTGTACACAGAAAAATGACATCACGTCATAGACGTCTAGATACAGGGGCGCCGGAACGATGAGTGCAAATGACCCCCTGCCCCCAAAAGCACCAGCTGCCCTTACTTTTTTCCTGACTGTCCTTTAAAATGTTTTTCCGTACACAAGCAATGGAGTACACGTTATCGTACTAAGTCATGATAAGATTTTATATTTTTTGAATATATCTGACCGAGAAAAAATATGACCAAATGTGAAAGCAGTACATTTTATCATAAAATTAAAGGGATAGCACGTGTTGTATTGAAATAAAACCAACCAGAAGAAAACCTAAATATCACATACCCACCTTAATCACTTCAAGATTTAACACTCATCTAAAAAAAACAAAAACCATGCAATGAACCCAATTCCAAAACCCTCATTCATATTGAATTACAGAAAAGTCCTAAATAATCATGTAAAACCACAACTACGACACGTTTCTGCCATCTGAACTGTAGACCAGTGCGGAATAAGACATCGGATTTAAATGAATTTATAGAAACTAATATACTCGATCTAAATGTATTTGCACTTTCTGAAACTTGGCTCACTGAAACTAATGATCAATCTTCATAAGCTGAACTGATACCCACCGGATATTCCATACATAGCGTAGCTCGGAAAACACGGGGTGGCAGAGTTGCACTTAAATCAACTACCAAATCAAAACCAAGTAAACTCAATTGCTTTAATGTTTGGACTCTTTTGTAGCTCTATAACAGAAAACCCTACGGATAATAATTATATGCCGTCCATCTGGAAAATCTGTAGATTTATTCTTCAATGAATTTGGTCATTCCTGGACGATGTTTCCTTCAGCTATTGTGACCTACTTGTTGTGGGTGATTTCAACTTCCATTACGATAACACCAATGATCCATCATCTTTAAAACATAAATGTCTTACATTTCTTTTGCACGCAACATGTTCAAAGCAAAACCCACGTCCGTGGTCAAACCCTCGTTCTTGTAATATCAAGACTCTGCGAAAATTTCGTTGGTAATCTAACTGTACAGGGGTCTATCTTATCTGATCAATTCCCAATTTTTATTAACTTAAAGATCCAACCTACTGATTTTCCCGTCCAGACGCGTCAAACACGAAATCTAAAACATTTGAACTCAAATCAGTATTTGTCTGAACTAGATAATACCCAGTTACACAACATAGTAAATCTTGATAATCAAAGCAACACAATTCAACGACGAAACACTACAAGCGAAGAGATGTAGAAATATAGCTGAGCGAACATGGAGAAATTCCAAGCTCCAGATTCATCGAGAACTATATCAGGTCGAGAAGCTCAGTTTAAATAGATGCGTTGTTGGTGCTAAGAAATCTTATTACTCTGATAGAATTGACAATAGTGACAACAACATTCAAAGACCTTTTTCGTATCTCCAATATATTATCAGATTACAACTGTCTGATCAACAAATCGCCGATATGTTTTCCTCGTATCTTCTTAAAAAATATCAACCATTAGAGTCAATCTTGTACTGAATTCAGGAGATTGGATATCTTGCGATACAAATCTGACAGTTCTACCACCCCCACTCAGTTCATTTAGCACGGTCAGTGAACCTGAATTGTCAAAACTTATCTCTTCATATTCATGGAAATCATCCTCACTTGATCCAATTCCTACTCAGGTTTTGAAAGACTGTCTTCCATTATTAATTTGTGTTATCACAAATATAATAAATTCTTCAATCAGTGAAAATATTTTTCCAGACACCTTTAAGTCTTCCATAATATTTCTACCCATCAAAAAGAAATCACTGATTCGAGAAATACTAAGGGCCTGTATCAAACTTGAGTTTCATATCCAAATTTCTGGAACGTGTCATCTCTAAACAGACCACATCTCATGTTAGAGAAAATAATCTTTCAGGGGCCTTCCGAAGTGCATATAGGAAGTATCACAGCACCGAAAAAGCGTTAGTGAGAGTCCACAATGATGTTGGATGATCAAAACTGCATTCTTCTGACCCTATTAGACCTATCTGCTGCTTTTGATACGGTAGATCATCAGATTCATATTAATCGATTGGAAAAAGACTTTGGAATCACTGATGCCGCTTTGAAAATAATCCAATCTTATATCAGCAATAAGACACAACGAGTTATTGCGAACCAGGAATCTTCCACTGAATCGCAGCTGAAATTTGGAGTGCCTCAAGGATCTGATATTGTCATATCAATTATTATTTCAGTTTATTTGTTATTAATTTAATACTTCTTTTTCGCTATGTAACAATATCGACATTATTATGACGTTATATCTTTGCCACTGTTTAAGATGAACAATGATATGAAAATAAAAAGTATTTCATATCTGCTTTTAATTTTTCAAAACTTCAAACTGAGAAGAACTTTAGCATATATAATTTTAAAGGTGTATAGTAGCTATGGTTGGAGACACTATAGCCATAGCAGCTTATCCGAAAGAAAAACTTGGATGTTAAACAATTTTGATAAGGATCCTAATTTGATCTCTATAATTAGTAAGTGCAGGAGGACCACACTACACCCAAATCAAAACCGATAAGACAAATCGTGATCAAACGCTTGAACATCTGTTAAAAAGACAAAAAGCAAAATCACGCTAAAACCTATTAAGTTGATAATTAGGTGCCTTAGGATCTTTTACACATAAGTAAAAATTATTATGAAAAATTAATGAAATTGTTGCTATGTTCCCAACGAAAAAAAAAGCAAAATCACACTAAAACCACTTAATTACCTAATTGGGTGCTTTAGGATCTTTCACACATCAGTGAAAATTACTTACAAAAAATAACGCGATGGGTGTATATATTGGTCGCTAAATTTTATATTTTTGATTCAGTGAAGTCTTTGTTTACTCTCAAGCTTTGGTAAGTATTAAATGTATTTATATGTAAAGTATTAGGGTTTTAGCCGCCCCGATGTGAACCATATCGTAATCGTGTTGTTTTATAATATTGCTTTTTTAAACATTTATTAAATCCACCATGATCAGTTCCTCGGTAACTGCTGAACTTATTGGTATGGAACTTTCACGTCCAAAAGTATCAAAAGAGAGAGAGAGAGAGAGTTTAACGTCCACGTAAACTAGGCCATTTCGGGTCTAACGTATGGTTCAGTATTTCCCCTGTGTATAGCGGAGGACCCAGGCAAAAGACACGAGATTGGTCATTTTCTCCCTCTGTCATAATAAAATCAGCTGATTGTTTGTTGTGTTATGTATCATATCTATTGTTTGACCTACTTATGTGCTATGTACAATATTGTATTAAAGAATATTATTAAAATGTATTATTTTAATATACAATTTACTATTCCATTTTTGACAGGATTTATTTTTAGGTATTTTGTGAGTTTAGACGCAAATTGTTGTTTGACCTCTATAATTACCTCCCTTTCTTTTGCCAAACTTTTCCTGGAATTGATATGGAATGTATCAACTTTTTTTGTATATATTAGAAGAGGTTGTATATATTTGGAACCTTGTTGGGTAATATTTTAAGACCGATAAATCGATTATTCTGTTCTTGTCTGTTCGTTTAACTTACCACAGTTGAGTACGTAACAGTTATCATCAATGCGGAGAGAACAAAACACGTGGGGTAAAACATCCGCTTCCTTTATGTGGAAAGCGAAGTTGCTCGCTGTAAAAACCATATAGCTGGACCTGTGGGTTATTTACAAATCCAAACCTGTTCGTGCAGTTATTTTCAGTTAAAATCATAACATACAATGTTTAATATTGAACCTAGATGAAAACAGCAGTTTTGTGTTTGTCATTCCTGGCTTTGATATACATTTCTGATGGTTGACTTGTTCAAGGAGATACCAGAAAGTAAGCCTAAATAGTTTATTTATAATAATTAATTATTTTCGTCACAAGGAAAATAACGCGTATTTTGACAGCAGAAGATAGACGCACTACTCAAAGAGGGGAAGTACCACAAAACAACTTGCTTTAATATATGAAAAGAAATGGGGTTTAACGTCCTACTTTTCTGCATTGGCTGTATAAACGAAGACGGGTACAGTGGGATATTAGAAAAAAATGTCAAAGTTCCAACCCTCAAGGGTTCTTTTGCGTGCACCCGAAGGACTACACACTGTCCTTGCCAGGACCCCCTTCCTGTAACACTGATAAAGGTAAACCACGCTGGGTAATCCCGGGAAACTTTCTCGACGAACACCGAGATCGAACCTCGCGGTTTATATTAAGCCAGCGTCTTGCTCGCTTTGCCACCATGTCCCCCCTATCTTAATATAAAGCAACCATTTTGTCAGCTTAATCCCTGTAATTAGTGTACAGGAAGTTATGTAAATAATGCATTTATTTAAAATCTTGTTTTGTTTAGAAGAACATGGCAACAATAAATACAAAATCTTTTATTTCAGTTGTTTTTTGCGAAGTAGAGGAAGTGACAAATGGTCGCATTCTTTATTCATTTCCGAACCCGATAGATTCCTGCCATGGCGTCCCTACATGTGGTTGTAGAAGACGCGCCATGATCGACTGTGGTGGTAAATGTGACGAAAAAGTAAAAGTTTATTGTGAACAACGCCTTCATCAAACGAAAGCGATGTCTAAATATAGGGCCAGCACATGTAACAATGGAGATGGGCATAATCACTACGATTGTTAGGCTGTTCCTGATGGTATGCTTGGTTGTATTTAACTGATGTCTCATAACACGAGGCCTTGTTATTTCGATTTAAGTTGAACAAATAAAATGAATAAAATAAAACCAAGTACGAACAATCCAAACCATAAGACAGAATTCGAAGTCCTAAAAAACGTTATAGGCAAAATAATGTATTCATGCTAAATAATGTAATCAGCAAATGGACTGCTCCTCGTGTACAAAATACACGACAAACAGTGGTAACAGGTGTCCGGAAGAGTAAGCTTAACCTGCCTGGCGCCACACCCGCCATAAATAAAATGAATAATACATTAAACGTGTTTAATAATTTCACTATGACTTACTACTTACTTACAGTAAGACAGTAAAGTCCGTTTTTCATGTACGCTTTTTTGTGGCGTTTCGGCGCACGTTTTCGCCGGTTATATGGAAACGGTCCTATTACATTTACATGAGACCGCTTTAGTCCCGGCAAGATAGGATAGCATAAGTACGGACAGCTGCTGCAATAGATATGGCGACCACGGTTTTCGAGGTAGCTGAATCCATTTTTTGTACATATTTTAGTGATTATGTGGTTTCCTGTGGTTTACTCTGTCCTAAATTCTCTGCCATTGAAATTGGTATCTCAACTCATTGTTGAACGTAGGTCAGGGATCTTATTGTCGGCCTCCACTACCCGTTTTCGTTCCGTCATTTTCGGAATGACGGTGAGCTGTTCATTGTCAAATGGTTCACTGCATATCTGACTAACAGGCGATACTGTATCCATCTGTGTCTCAACATTTGAACCATTTTGTGGAATAAATTCGTCACCGCTATATCTTGCAATTGTGTCTTGTCCTACCCAATACCAGCCTAATATAAGTGTGTGCCGAGGTGGGTTGATGTCTAGTTTGGAGTTGGGTTCGAAACCACGCCACTTGAATCAGTGACAGGCCTTATGATGGAATGATGGAACGCGCACGCGTTAACCATTCGGTCACCCAACCACCCGGTTCTCAATAAGTTCCGTTGACAGTCTTCCTTTTAAATTAGGCATTTGCAATTTTGCACTGAAACTTTTAGAAAATTATGTAATCGGTACGTAATAGAGTATGCGCTAACCAATCGAGCACGTTTCGCCCCTAATAAATAGTGGACATTTATTGAAACGATGTAGAAGATGTGAACACTGTTAAAGATGAATGGTTCCAGTGGAGGCTTTATTAAAAGCTCCCAGCAACACTGCGTCTCAGTCGGAGTGGACACCCATTAGCATGTTAAATCGCAACTTGAACACATCATTCCTAAATTTGTTTATAATTGCAATACGAACTTAACCTATTTTGGGAAGGGGTGGGACAGTCCCCATCCGCCCCCATTTATTGAAATGCGCCACTATGTCCCTATGTGTCTTATCCGACATTGGCCTTAAATATTGGATATCAGAAGTCCACATTTTCAGGGTACGATAACAGCATCTATATTGATTGGAATGGACCAACAATTTGCATTTGTAATGTCGAAGACTGTGGTTCATATTCATTTAGGGCTTTATGCTCTTTAACGTTTGGAATATCAACCTTTTCGAAATTGAAACTGAAAGGTTATGGTTTCTCCTGCGAGATGCACTTATGTATACATGTAGTAGTTAGCAACCCGGGAAGGATGTTTATGAGTTGGTAACAAGTTTTTATAGTTTTAACTTGACAACGTGGGATACATAAACCCAAGAAACTTGTCTACTAGTTCTTGTCTACGATATCATCCATGGTGGAAGTGGACGTAAAACTCTAGAAACGAACGAATGTTTCCTAGCCATAAACTTATTAGAGCCTTACCTGTTGTTCCTACTTTTAGTTCCAGCCCGTATAGTATAGAGCCTGATTATTAGACAGAGATCGTCCCTATATTACATGTTAAGACAAAAGGTCTTTGTTACGTAAACTATGTGATCGAAATTACGGCCTATGCCGAATACACGAATACCTTATTTGGCTGTCCGTCTCCCTTAAATCACGTTAGCCAAAACAAACCAACAATTCTTGTTTACGGTTATTTTGGCTAAAAATATGTTAACTGTACGTAAAAACTGGTATTTTTTGGAGGTTACGAATAATATTCCACCAACTGAAGGTAAATCTGATCAATTCCATTCATTATATGCTCGCATTTCACAACAATCAGGGGCGGATCCTGGATTTTTTGCAGGGGGGGGGGAGGTGTCATGTTCCGGAGACAATGTATCTCCCCACCCCCCTCCCGCATGGTCTCTATCGTCATTTTGGCGTATATACATACACATTGAGCTTTTTAAACAGAGAAATTCAACACCTCGTTTGACGTCAATTTTTATTATGAATTAATACAATGATACTGTGATTCAATTTCATGGATGCAAAGCATTAATTGTGATATCACATAATGTCTATATCATTATCTCGTGCTTTGAGTGCCCATCATGTCCCAAATCTGACGATAAACGATAAAGCACACGGGATCCGCCCCTCAACAAACATGTACACAAGACACAATTCTATGAAACACTATTACTGTTTTTTTACAAGCATAAATATAATTGTGTCTTGTTGATAAAGACTAGAGAATCCGGGTTGAAACGTCACTCAGTAATAAACAGTAACTGTACTCAACAGAATTGTGCTCTGTGTATATTCACTTATATAAAAGCTACTGAAACTAAGAACCAGGAATCGTGGTGTCCAAGTAAATAAGACGCTGGCTTGCTAACCAGGTGGTCTCGGGGATTTTCCGACGTGGTTCCCCCTGTAAATGGTGCAGGCCTTGGGGGGGGGGGGGAGGGCTTGCAAGGCAAGGGAAGTGTCTAGTCGTTCGAACGGAACGATAAAAACGAGATCCCGTGGACACAATGGTGTGTACGTAAAAGAACCTCTGCAATTCGATATAAGAGTAGTTTGTAGCACTGCTCTCCGGACAAAATTTGCCTCACAGCACATTAGCCTAGAACAGTAGGACGTTAAACTCCATTTCAGTTGAAACTAAGAACTACAGTTTCCCTCCCCCCCTTCCACTCCTTACCACCATCTGTTCATTCGTAAGTGATTTTTTGTGAAATTTCACACATACACGTTTATTGCATGTATCTATATTTTTCATGTGGTAACAAATATATGATGCGTAGAATTGCTCCGCTTCGCCCCGCCTCGCCCATACACACCCATAGTCACACAACGTCCGTTATAAATAACAATACAATTCAAATGCTAGTCTATTTATTTAATCAATTGGACATAGTGTCGCTTTGTCCCGTTCCAGTTATTGGATACAGAGTGGTTTTATTCCGTTCAAGCTATTGGCACAGTTTAGGTGTTGTGGTATATCCTTCACGTCCCCTACATGTGCTTCCTTTGTATTTTCCTATAAGATGTTTCCCTTTCAAATGCTGAGGACAGTGGTACCTTGCCCAGATCTCAAGTTTGTCCCCGCAAGTTGATTTGCAATTTGTCATCTCGGCTCTGTAGCAAGCACAATTTGACCAACCATGACATTTATCGACTGGTCCAAAATCATGAAGAATGTTGTAGTGGTTGTCGTTATCAACAACTTTACAAAAACAACTGAAAAGAAATCAGAAACGACGAATGAAAGAAAAGAAATGGGGTTTAACGTCCCATGTTTTTGCACCAACATGGCTAATGAAACGGAATACGCCATGCTGTGTGCTATCAGATAAATTTTTCCCGGGCGTTAAATCCATTTCATTTCATGCCATTTCTTTTACAATATTTAAAATGTCATTGTCCCTTTAAGATATGTAGTATATATATATATTGTGTTTTGCACCAAGTACAATTATCCAGCACATTTGAAAATATTTAATATCAATGTGCTCTATTTACGATATCGACTTTCGCGAAATATGAAGTAGATAAAATGAAATATGTTAGTGTGATTCACCACTCATACTTACTGTCTGTCACCTCCACTAACGACATATCGAAAAAACCATGCTTCGGATGGTAATATTGTAGCTAATCCGACCATCACAACGATTATTAGTCCAATTTTAACCATTTTTGTATCCTATAGCAAAAGGTTTTAGAAAATTTCTTTAATGTTAGTAGAGAAAATTGCCGAATTTAATACCCGCTTCCAACGAGGGTGACATCACAGACAAAGGGCGTTATTTTAATATATTCATGTTGGAGGAAACCAGGGTAAACGGAGTAAAGCCAAGGTTCAGAAGCCACACTAGGGATCGAAGCCGCGATATGATTTGATAATGACTGACGTTTATGGCGGCATTCAACGTCCATTTAGATCGTCCTGGTTCAAGATTCTGTAACGCGAAAGCCATCTTTAAGGCCAGCAGGACAAAAAAAGATAGGTTGCCAGCAACAAAACATACGCCTACTCAGGGTAAATCGTCCGGGCAGTCAACAAGAGTGTCACATATTTTTTCTTTTGTCGGTAATGAAATATTTATAATACACTAAAGTCTGATCAAGAAACAATTCGTGAAGTAATTATCAGAAAATCATTAGAATATTTTTGGCTTCTAGTTCTATCCAATGCCTACGTTTAGTATACATTTTTAGAAATCATTGAAAATCAATATACTTGATCATCTCAAGACTTTTAACTCTGTGTATTAACCTAAAGTAAATCGAATGATCACATTGGCCTGTAGAGCATCAACAATATTGTCGAAGTAATTAATTGCGTAACTCTGGCAGTAACTATCAGAAATGAACTTAAACTCTGTGTCTAAATTTAAAGTCAATCGGATATTAACGTTAGATAAAGCTTCCACAAGATATTTCAAAGAGTCCAAAGGCCATAACTGTAACACTATTTATCGGAAATCGTTGAAAAGCAATATGCTTTTTCATCTCATGGCCTTAAAACTGTGTATAAATTAAAGCCAATCGGATACGAGAGCGTCCACAAACAATTATGGACACAGTACCGACGGGCGGGGGCGACAACAATATACGACCACATTTCAATGTGGGCGTGTTAATGCGACGAGTTGTTTCTTCGTACTAGCTTAACGACAACATTCATGTTTTGGTAGCCTCGGGTTTAGATCGTCACGTTATTTGTAGTCCTGGTTTAACGGCGACTTCCGCTTTAAGCTGCATCTATAAGACGACGATGATCTAAATACACGTATAGGCTTACAGCTACCATAGACTTACAGCTACCATATACTTTCCCCGTCCAAAGAATATGTACACATTTATAAACTTCGTATTTTAAAGGTACTGACGAATAACAAAAATGCTAAAATATAAAGCATAATCCGATATTTCTAAGCAAGCAAACTAGTAGGAATAATAATCTCTTGCAGGA